TCTTCCCACTAATCTATTCTTCTTTTAGATCTCAGTTCCACCATCAAATTTTAGGAAAACATGCCCCACTCTTCCAGTTTAGATGAAGTTGTTTTAACAAACGTTCTCATAGAACCATGTTGATTTCCTACAGAATGCTTAGCCTTGATTATAATTATAGATCCATTTGTTTGAGTATTTGAATAAAGGCTGTCATTCCCACTTGACTGGAAGCTCCACGAGAATATAGACAGTATCTAATTTTTTTCTCACAGTATGTTTGATGCCTAATATAGCATCTTAAACACAGAAGCATCTGCTAATTATTTAAGTGACTGTATAAGTTTGAGCAAGAATACTTCTTCTCCAATCATATTCCTCCAGTTTTCTGTCCCCAGGCTTTTGCTATGCTGTTCATTCCATGCACAAGCTATATCTACATTTTATCCTCTCCAAATTTTATCTCACAGACTTATCTAAATGGGCACTTTCTTAACTTTGCAAATGATCGTCACCTCTGCCTCCCTTGGAAATCACAGCACTCGGATGTCATCTGTTCTCTGCCATGCTTAGTGTCACTGTCGTTAAAGTGGGCCTTTTATTTCTTTATCAGCTCATAAGCTCCTGGAAGGCAAAGCTGATTCATTCTCTTTATATCACCTGCAGTAACAGTGTGCTTCTCAGATGCCTAATGTGCCTTCTTTATTAATATGAGTAAAATACATATTACGTGTTGAATTAAAATTTATATAAACAAGGGAAAATCACAATAGGCCTTCAATCAGTTCTACCAATGTGCTGAATTAAATTAGCAAATGATATAGACATGGTTGTCAAAGCAAATGCTTTCTATTTTGATCACCTACTATTGTTTAATGGATTTATTTGTGGTAGGTGGCAAATGGTTCTATAACTACTAGATTCAACTTGGGTTTTTATTTCCTCCTGTTCCTTGCTCAATAAATTATAATGAAGACCAGCTGATGTTTCACTGACATTGGTTTTCTTACTACAGAATGAAACTTTTTCATAGAAGGTATCACCGAACAGCTAATGGGAGAGAAGGGGCAGGATGGGTTAGTGGTAGGGTATGAAGTGGAGTGAACTGAACCTGAGGGTCAGGAGATCAGCTGGTGAGAAAACTGTCACTGTTCACATGCAGAAAAATACTTGAAAAATTTGGAAAAGAACTCAGTGACGTACAAAACCAAGAATTTATTGTGACCACAATGCTCAACAGAAGAAACAAAAGCCAAGTGCATTTCCAAAGAGGGAAATTTCTCCTCATTCTCCCCAGGTCCATTTATAATTTTTGACTCTGGTCTAAGGAGCCAATTTCATTTATTTATTTATTTTTGGAGACAGATTCTCACTCTGTCACACTGGGTAGAGTGCTGTGGCGTTATCATGGTTTATAGCAACCTCAAATTCTTTGGCCTCAAGTGATCCTCTTGCAAGGAGGATCCAGTTACTGGGACTACAGGTGTGCACCACCATGCATGGCTACTTTTGCCTATTTTTAGTAGAGATGGAGTCTCACTCTTGCTCAGGGTGGTCTGGAACTCCTGAGCTCAGGCAATCCACCCACCTCGGCCTCCCAGAGTGCTAGGATTATAGGTGGCCACCGTGCCTGGGTCTAAAGGGCCCAGTTTTGCCACGAAGCCATCATTTGTCCCTTCATTTCCCCACTATATCTATATGAACATTCTGAATTTAGGAAGACCACTGCTGGGATTTTCTGTGCCCCCAGTGCTGGAAATCAACACAATTTAATTAACTTCTTCAAGCATTTGTTGAGTATCTAGTATGTGCTGGGTTTTCAGCTAGGTACTAGAGGTCCAAGGTGAACAAGAAATCATCCTGCTGTGAAAGAACTCACAGTTCTGTGAAGTCAGTGAGAATATGGAAACATCATTCTTAGGTAAGAAACTGCAGAAAGAGAGCTAAAATGCAAAGCACTGTGGGAGACGGGGGGAGAGGGGGAGAGAGCACGCCATTTCCGTGGAGGGAGCTACTGAAATGAGGTGGGGGCTAAACTGGGTGGAGAGACACAGTGGTTGCTCCTCCTGCGTCCCAGCCTCACTTCTTGCTCAGTGGGTGACCAACATGTGATTGAATAGGATCAATTTCATCCTGACTCTAGAAGTGGGTGCTGTCCACCCAAAATCCCAGTGGTACTCCCACTGATGAGTGATAGCTCATTCTGTGCTGGTTAAGGGAGTCCAGGTCTAAGCCCATCAGCTCACAGTATTCCCTGGCCATTAGAATGGTCTAGTTAGCACAGAGTTCTGAGCTTTTATTCACTGGTTGTGGGCAAGCATCTCTGCTGTGTCTCTTTGGGCATGAGTGAAGAATCACATGAAGCCCCAGTCTGTGCTAACAGCCGTCTTCAGATCATGAGAGGAACCTGCTTTAGGATAAAGCCAGCTGAAGGGACTGAAAGGGGAATAATGAAACAAACAAACAAACAAACCGAGCCCCTGCTGACATCATTGAGGCACTTGACAAACTAGCCTGAAGACTGTCCTTGCTCTTCAACGTTCCAGTTAAGAGAATCAATACATTCTTTGGGGCAGGTTTTGCTACATTAGCCAGGCTGGCCTTAAACTCCCCGGCCCCAGCGATCCTCCCACCTCAGCCTCCCGAGTAGCTGAGACTATAGGCAAGCACCAGTGGACCTGGCTTAAATTCTCTCACTTTTAATGACAGTTTCAGTTGAGCTTTCTCTTATAATCTGAAAGCATTCTCAACAGTACAGAGAACCATGAAATGAATAGGATTTCAATGAGCTGGGGAGGGGAGAAGGGCGGGGGAAGAAAAGGGCTATTCCAAGTATCAGAAACAGCTTACGCAAAGGTATTAAGAATTAAAAGTAAGTAGCAAACATGTGTGCTGTGCAAGTGTGTGCGAAGCACAAGGTGTTTATGGGGCCTTGGGTAGTGGGGGGACAGTCTATTCATGCACATAGTTTCTAACTGAAGAAGAGAGAAAGAAAAGGAGAGGTGGGAAGAGAGAACCTCAGCATTTTTTTTAGTGGCAACTTTAGATCATTAATAAATCTATGCTGAATATATACCCAGGGGACCCTGACAATTATTTTTGTTTCCATGTTTTTTCCAGTATGTTAGTATTTGTCATCAAAAACATGTGAAAAGGGTTTCAAAATAAATTTGTGGTAAATTCACCCATTTCATGAAAACAATTTCACTTATATACAGTATGCTAAATTGTTAGTGCAACTATGACGTACAGGGTTTTTTCCATGTTAAAGCTTGTTTGCGTGGAGAGATGAACATGGAGGCACTATAACTACTGCCATGAAGGAAGAGAAATGTACTGAATTATTCTCCCTTTCGGATTTACAAATGTCTTGTATGTGTGTGTGTGTCTCCTTGGAGTTCTGTGAGGTCTCAAACAAAATTTCAAAAATGTAATTAGGTGAGTCTTACGGCGATAGGTTAATCATATTTCTATTTGGTGTGTTTATGTTTAAATGCTAATTTATTCATGATTCTGTACCAGGAGGATTTGCTAATTAAACTAAAAAAGTCATAGTCCTTGCTTTCAAGATGCTTAAAATCTTACTAAGAGCATTGATGATGTACAGAGAATAGAGGATGTAGACCAGGTCTACATATTATTTTAACCAAAATAAATGTTATATATTGTGCCTGGGGCCATTCTGAGAGTCTCTTTTCCCCTAGCCGAAAAGATAAAAGTAGAAATAGGAAAGCCAACTTCAGGGAGAGTAAGGCTCTCAAGATTGGAGAAAAGCAGCTTTCTAAAGGGTGAGAAAGGATTTCATACATGCAAATGCTTTACTTCTTGCCAGTATAGAATGCACCACATCTGGGTTCTCATAGTGCATCCAACTAGAGCCTTGTACCTCTTCCAATATCAGTACAAAGCCACAGCATTTTCAGGATTAAATTGAGAGGACAGTCTCAGGTCTCCCTTATCAGTTATCTCCTTGTTTACATGGCACCTTTACCAGGAAACCTATCTCATGTATGTTCTTGGAATATAAAATACATATGGATGTGGTCCTGGAAAAATGCTGCCATTAATTACTTTCATTTCAAGGCATCTTGAAGTTCATTTGGAAATCAGATGGTGCAAAAGCAAAATCAGGTTTACGTAGTTTCCCAGACACGAAATCTATGGCATCTCAATTTATTCAGGTACTTCGCTTGTTTCTCCATATTTGTTATTGTTGTTCCTAAGTAAATTACCAGGATGGCAGAAGTTCTGTGGAAGTATCAAATCTAAGCTCAATCTAATATGAGAACAATGTTTTGTTTGGATTCTATCCTGAAGCTTTTAAATGGCTATGAAATTCATAATACGGCCATATGAAGAAAAATGAGGACAAAACAAAAAATACTGAAGCTTATCATTTACAGTCTATATAGGGATACACGTGTTGGGGAAAAACAGTGAAAAGCCGAGGTAAACTAGCAATGCTGTGCGTGTGTGTATGGGCGTGCATGTGTGTGAGGAAGAGAGAAAAACCAGAAGTGAGAGAGAAAACGGAGTGGAGAAGACAGTAGCTATTTTCATGCAATAACACATTTTAGGTAATGCTTGTCCCTTTAGGAAAAATCTTATCCCATCAGATCACAAATTCTATATATTAAAACAAGATAGAATAAAAGATTATTAAGCAGTCTGATTATTTAATCAAAGTCCATTCACATTCTCAAAAGTTACACGTTATGATTAAAATTGATTTATTTTCATACTTATTAATAACTTTCCCATTAACGTAGATTAGTTGGCAGCATCCAAATCCACAAATTATTTTTTTTTACAGTGTCAATGGTACTTGAGGTGTTTGGAATAAAGAGAAAAAAGATGTCCAATTACATTTGAATTAAGAAAAATCCACAAAACCCTAAGTTACTTGTTATACAAACCTTTTCCCTATTGCTCCAAAACTTGTTGAGTGGCATACCGATTCCGAAGGACTAAACTAAAAGTAAACTACCTCTAGAAATGGAAGAAGGGAAGGAAACTGGTACCTGGATGCTGGTCAGAGTTGTGTACTGGTAAGCCTTGACCACCAGGTAATTTGCTTCCAGGTCTATGAGTCCCAGAATCATATACTTCCACCATCTACGTCGTAAGATAGCCAGGAGGTTTTCTTCTCCTGTGTTATGAAGTTAAGAAGAAATAAGTTAGGTTCTTGACACATAATTACATATATATATATTACTAGAAGGATTCTAAAATGTTGTAGCATTGCATTTTTTTCACCATGACCTTAACAAATATTTAAACAAATGATGAATCAGTTTATCAGAAATGCACATGTTTTTATTTAGTAAATGGTCTTTATTATAGATTTTGGGTCTTTGAGTTTAATTTGCACATCAAGTAAGACTGGGAAGGTCATTAGCTCACCATGCAAAATATTTTCTGGTGAATGTATGAAGGAAACAATAAATACATCATGGGAAAATACAAGGAAAGGTGTACCAGGAAGACCGCATAAGCACACACATTTCAAATTAGAGTAAATTTCAGGATTACGGTAAAGTAGATAGATGTGAAAGACTGCAGCCAAATGCAAAACAGCTTGTGCTTGATGGCAGATCTGTGGTGAGACCCGACATGCCATCCTGAGTTCTTGAGCAGCTTTGAACACTGCATGTGCCCTGGTGTGTGGGCCATGGAGAGACAAGAGGAAGTTGGGGCCACTCTCAGATGGAGAAGGGTACCATTTGACCACGTCTCAATGTTGCCGTCTTGCCTCTAAACGGACTTTGAATCCCTTATTAAGATCCTCATCTTTATTTTCACATCTATTTCAGCTCTGAGATAAACTTTATTTCTCCAGATGGAACAATCAGGATTAGTAACAATGATAACTCTGTTTCCAACCTCCGAGGTCTTCATAGAGGATGTGGAATGTGCAGAAACTCTGAGACAACGTTTACTATATATATTAGTTATGGTTGTAAACAAAGTACCCCCCAACTAGACCTGTTTAAAACAAGAACTATTTATTATCTCACAGTTGAGGGGGATCAAGAATCTGGGTACAGCTTAACTCAGGCATTCTCAAACTACAGCCTGTGGGCCACACGTGGCCTGCCGAAGACATTTATCCAGCCCGCTGGGTGTTTTTGCCACCACTGCCTGTCCTGCTTAGCAGCTGACTTGTCCTGGGGCCTGCAGTGTGGCCCTCCAATGGTCTGAGGGACAGTGAACTGGCCCCTGTTTAAAAAGCTTGAGGACCCCTGGCTTAATTGAATGTCTCTGACGTGAGGTCTTCCAGTCAGTTGCGGCCAAGCTGTTAGCCAGGGACGCTGTGTCATCTGAAGCATTGATAGGGAGCTTCCAAGCTCACTCAGATGGCTATTGGCTGGCCTTGGCCCTCACCACAGGGCCTACCCACACACTGCCTCAAAACATGACAGTTTACCCCAGTGAGGGGTGCAGGGTAGGGAGAAATGAAGAAAGGATGGAAAAACATCAAAGATGGATGATTAGTTTTTTTATAACCTAATCCCCAAAGTAACACTTCTACCATACTCTATTCTTTAGCAAAGGGTCACTAAGTCCAACCTGCACTCAAGGGGTGAGAATTTCACATTGGTGTGAATGTGAGGAGGCAGGGATCAGTACCCAGTGACACACACTTTAGTGCTATGAATGTGCCCTTGGCTGGTCCCCAAGACCTGCACAGAGCCCCACATCCTCCGCTGTCTTTGGGCAATTTTTAAAACTTTGAACTCCTGATTTCTGCCTTTGGTTTTATTCTAGTGGCCAACAGATGAGGTGATTTTCCACTTTTATGGAGACTTATGAACACAAAACTTTCCAGGTGCATAAAGACGGTCAGAACATGGCTTATGGCTAGTGGCAACAAGGACGATTGGTGGTCAACCCACTAGTTTTCTAGCCGAGTTTTTGGTGCCACACTTCTCAGAGCTGATTATCCAAGAACACTCCAAGTCTTTCTGAACTGCACTTCCCATATTGTAGCTATTCATTCTTCAACATTTAGCTCTCTTCTGGTCCTACCCCCACTCCCCAGCTGGGCCATGTGTACCCAACTCTGGAAATCCTTTCACATGATTGTTGTTACTTATGAATTCTTCTCTTTGCTGGACTGAAGAGATGCTTGGGACGGTAGAGTTAACATCTCATTCATATATACGTCCACAGCACTTAGCAAGCTGATACGTAGCAAGGGTTAGCTAAGTATTTTGGAATGAATTAATGAATCAAAAATAGTATGAAATAGTATCTATCTGAACATGTCAAGAGCCAGTGCCAGAGCCTGAGTCACTGTTCACATGGTCTTGCACATGGGAGGTCTGGTGCATCTGACCCAAGGTCGTTTCTTCACAGCCAGCTCCTTCTGGCAGTGTCCTTGCCCAGCACATCTGCCTCTTACTTGTCTACATATTTGGTAATTGACACATCTGTTGGAATTTATCTTATGAATCTGTGATTCTTGTGTGTGCGTTTGAATCTGAGGCCCCTTATTGGTCTTGCTTCCATGAGTGGCTGAGACCAGGGGAAAAGGGGGGTGTCTCTCCACAACACTCCCTTTATACACAGAACTAAACAGACAAGCACAGAGTCACTATTGTGGTTAGAAGTTGGTAGTATGGGAAGAGACGGAACAGGTGAGGTGTAGGGGTATTGTTAAAAAACATACAGGCTCCCCCAACTGGGGTGCCGGGGGAAATTGATCTGCTTCAACCCAAAAAGAATCAGAAGATCAAAAGTGGTTTGGGAAGGCCAGAACCATCAGGGATGGAGGGAGGAGGAAAACCCAGGGGTAAAAAGATTGCCCTCCCCCTGCTGGGATCCCCCCAGCCCCTCTGATCTGGCAGGAAGTAGGCAGCATGTAACCCCCAGGGACAGGTCTGGGGCTGCCAGATGCTCCAGTCAGGGGGGCGAGATGGGGCTCACAAAGTCTTGCCCTCCAGGAAGATGACGGCACTGCACCCCCAGTGCCAGGGTACAGCGGTCCTTGACCTCCTCATAGTGGTTTGCTCGTAATTCATGATGGATCCCTATCAGCTTCTTCTTGATGGCATCCTTGGAGCTGGCATAAATCATTTTGCTCTTCAGGGGTACACACATTTTGCTCTTTAGAAGCCCAAAAGATAAACACCAGGTCCTCCTCCTTGCTCTCCTTGGTTTCATAGGTTGCATCATAGAGGGCATAGCTTCAGTCCTGGTCTGGAAGCATCTTGACAAAGGTGGTGTAGGGGTCATGACAGTCCGGCCCACGCTTCCTATCAGGACCTCCCTGCCTTCCTCTGGGGTGATGTCCTTGTCCTCACTCAGGCAGAAGAGCATGCATGGCCTTCTTGCACTTCTTCACCTCCCCTGGCGTTGAAGACTTACACATCTTCGTGTCACTGAACACCTTAATGATGCCATCAGAGACAGCCACACCAGAAGCCATGTTTCCAGAAGTGAAAGAGTGATGGCCAGAGAAGCAGGGCAGAGGATGGCCACTGCCACTGCCGCTGCTGCTGGGACCTGACTGGACACCTAAATCAGTGATTATCAACTTGACTGCATATTCGTATCATCTGGGAAGCTTTTATGAAACTCCCAATGCCTGAAACCAGCCCCTAGAAATTCTGATTTAACTGGTCTTGGGTGGGTCCTTGGTACCGAGCTGAGGATCAAATCTGGGATGTTCAGATGGCTGATGCACAACGGTCATCCTCAGGGGGCTCTGGTGAGGAATTCCAGAGAGACACAGCCACAGAATGGGAAAATCTTCCTACCAGAGATGATAGGAACTTGTGGTCCAAAGTGCACGTTCTCCCATCTCGGGGCCTCTCCATGTGCAGCTTCCTCAGCTTGGACAGTGTCAGCTTCCAAATGAAGAATGAGAATCCACTCTTCTACCAGAAAACCTTCTTTGATGCTCATCCGGCCCCACACTGTGCTCCCTTAACACCTGTGCCTGTCCTACACTTATCTTCCTGTCTTATAATTACCTGCCTTCTTGACTCTATTACACATGCAATTAATAACAATTTGAAGAGAGTGGCATTATTCTCTGGGCCACCACTTCATCTCTAGACCCAACAGGACATGACAGGCGGTCAATAAATAATACAGAGTTTATGAATAAATTGCATGTTCAACAATGTCGGCAATGTTAAATTCATCAAACTTGAGGGACTTAAAAACATCTATTATAAACTACTCATGTGCCGGCCAATGTTCCTACTTTTCTAGTTAGAATGTAGACGACATCTGACAAAATTAACTTGGTGAACATTTTACACATCATACGCTGTACCTGAGACATAAAAAGGTCAATGGCTTATTTAACCTCCAAGCCACTACTCTAAAGTCACAGGTCATTGTCCCAGTGAATTTAGACAATGAACAGAGAAATGCCCACCTCAGAGCATACCAGCTACATCTCAATACAAAGCACAGGGAAACAAACAAAACAACAGGTTACAGTGCTGTTTCACCAATCAGGAACATATTTAAAGTGTATTGCATTACATAGATTCAAAGCAATGATTAGTTACTCCGCTGTTCTGGTGAGAAAGTTTGCAAAAAGCAAAGCGCCGTAAATAAATGCTTCCATATTGATTCATTTGAAGTACCTGAAAATAGGCAACATGCTTACTTAGCAGAATTATCCAAGACAATTAGAGGAAGCTTTTTTTTTTTTTTATTTTTGGCTGAGCAAAAAATAACAACTGTTAAAAGAACTGCTTGGGGATTTATCTACATGACTCCCATTAACACTGATGTACCATAGACCATTAAAACTCTTTCTAGGATAATGAAAATACATTCCTCAGAGTCCCTGTGCCAAAGCACTGCCCAGACCTTCTGAAATTAGAGCCATCCATAAGAAACAGGAGCACAATTGGCGATATGTTAATGTTTTGAAGTCTCCCCCACCCCCCTTTTTTAATTAACTAGGAGAAATAATAAAACTCATGGGCAGAAACTTTAGAATTATGGTTTGACATATGAATACATTGTTTATTATTACTTTTATTAACAATACGCTCTAATAGAAATAAAAAAGATTAGAGAATAATGTAATAAAATATCCAGCCACTTCATTAAATATATACTAACCTTTTGCTATTTGTTTCGTGTGTTTCAGATTTTTTTGAAAAAGAAACTATTACAGAT